GTGTGTGTGTGTGTGTGTGTGTGTGTGTGTGTGTGTGTGTGTGTGTGTGTGTGTGTATGCATGTATACACGTGTGCGTGCGCGTTGTATGTATACACGTGTGCGTGCGCGTTGTATGTATCTTCATACATCGATTAATCACTTTATAATTGAACCTTACGATTCGATACCAGGCTCAAATGATATCCATAATATTCATGCATGTCGAATTCACTGCCGCAACGTTTTCGGTTGCAACGGTACATACTGTGCTGTTCTTCATCGTGGCTAAGTACTTCTGATCGTGCAGCCATTGATTATGCTTGTGATTGTAGAATGCTGCTATCTCAAAGTGTTGGGTGTTCCATATGCTGTATCATCTACAATGCATATTCATAGCCGTCTATATACGAACAAAGGCGTTCATTTAGAATGAGCTATGGTGGTATATATATATCTATTATTTTTTTTGGTTTTTCCCCGCAGGAAAGGTATAAAAGTGCTGTGATGGGGGTAATTTCAAATTTGTTGACCAATAAAGAATGCGTTTAAAGAATAGGATTCTATTGGCTGCGAAGAACCTTGCCAGTTGGCAATTGTTTAGCGTTTCTGATTTTCTGCGAGACTGCGACAGAAATTTTAATTTTTGTGTTTTTGTGTTCAGCTGGGAAATTTGTGATATTTTATTCATTTTCGTGTTTTGTTCTGGTGGGAAATTTGTGATATTGTTTAGGGGCGGTTGAATTTATGCGAAGAGTGGTACATGTAAATACATGAATACAATGCGTAATTCAGGAAAATGTCTGATCATGGCCTACATCTACTTGCGGATGCCGCACTCGGGAATGAAAATATTTAACCAGCCACCAGTAATACAAGAAGATTATATATTGATCCGCGAATTCCTAGATTTGGTGGGGGTAGGCGAGGTAGGAACAGGAGGTCAAGTGAATGGGTACAACAATTAACACGAATATCAAATACTTATATGCAGCATACAAATACACCTATGCAGTACACAAATACACAGTATCATACAATTACATCATTTATGCAACATTCAAATACACGTAGGCTATGAGAACGTATTCTTTAGTGTTATAGTGTCCCCGTCGCATTGATGGAAAAGATAGGTGATAACCGTCCGTTCCATTTGCCGGAACTATGAATATCAATTCGGTACAGCAAATAAAATACCGACAAGTTGCTGTCAGTAAATGCCGAGCTTTGCTCACTCCGCCAACCGGGGATCATGTTTCACATTTATTGGTTTTGTTCTTTAGCTGTAAAAAAAATATCATATAAATAGTGTTCCAAACATATTCAGCCCATTTCAGAACAAGGTACATACTACATACAGCCTGTATAAATAGCGAGGCGTCAGGCGACTAGCTAGCGAGTAACCTTTACAATATATTTATTTACTACATTCATAGCCTTCTAAAAATGTTTCAATTTATTAGAAGGATATGCTACATTTGATTGACATCATTGATTTACTTTATTGTCGGATGATCCGTTTCAGTCTATTTATAGATAGATATAAAATGGAAATAAAAAAAGTGATAGACTGTTTTTGGTACCAGAAGTTGGTCCAAAATATAAAACAATTCACATAGCCTTCTACTCTAAGAAAAACCAAAAAAAAACATTGAAAGCCTGAAACAGTGAAACTTGAAAGGAATAAGGACATAACAACATAAAATTTATCTGTGACTTTTTTCCCCATTTGTTGGCCCACTTTGTAAAGGGATTGGCTCAATAAATAGGTTATCGCTTTCAGTCCCCACTCCCCATCGCGCCCCCGGGCCCAGGCCCTCAGCTTCCCAGCCATAATTTATATCACCAAATAAGTAAGGAGTACATTCCAGAGTAAATATATATTGATCAATTTTTAACCTCGCTATCTCTACTCACTACTATGTACTCATAAGTCACACCTCACAACACGTATCAGACTATCAGCTGGGTCAGTATACGACAACTACGTATATACGTCATACACGCATCTTGAAAAAAAATAGGGCGATATGCATCACATGTCTTTGGTTTTATTTGATCCAGCGGAAATGAGTAATGACTACACCATATCACGCCCGACATGTCTTACAAAATGTCAGTCACATGTATGACATTCCGTTTGCCCAAATGACGAGGTCGTATACCAACCCAGAGCATCGGTCTCGCGAATTGTGAGTTCTGGAGTAGAGAGACAGGGTATGTACTATACTACTATGTAGTACCGACATAGATCGTTGACTCGTCACTCGTCTACACTCTGCACATAAAGATACAAATATACATACGGACAATTGCATGTAAATAAATACTTATATATGGTCGTTCTTTTTGAAATAGTAATCACAATAGGTAACGACAGGCCACCGAAACTTGTGATAGCAGAAATAGCGCTAACTCGCAAGAGATCGATAGGATGCTCGAGACAATTCAAGGAGCAGGGTGGGGTAATCTCATATTCATTGACACAGGCAAATTGAGCGTATCACTGGGGCTTGCTAGTATTAGTGTGGGAATAGTGTGCGTAGTACTAGGCACGTACACTATGTACAAACGACATAGAGATAAACAGGACAAACAAGCCTGGCGTGATGCCCAGACAGATAGACCGTATGTCCCTCCTGTTGTAGCGCCTGGAAGTAATGCTCCACTATTCACAGGCATTAGAGTGGTGGAGTTCAGCACACACTTGGCTGGCCCCACGGTGGGACGTTGTATGAGTGGTAAGTAAGTGATCAACAGATCAATCATTCCCGCTGTAGCTCATTGAATATATTTATGTCACAATTTCTGAGTGCTCTGTGTACTGTTAATATATGTGTATATAAATAGTGTAAGTACCTGTTGTGGTAGTATTTGGAAGTAGTGCTCCACTATTCACAGGCATTAGAGTGGTGGAGTTCAGCACGCACTTGGTTGGCCCCACGGTGGGACGTTGTATGAGTGGTATGTAGGTGATCAACAGATCAATCATTCCCGCTGTAGCTCATTGAATATATTTATGACACAATATATGAGTGCTTTGTGTACTGTTAATATATGTGTACATAAATAGTGTAAGTACCTGTTGTGGTAGTATCTGGAAGTAGTGCTCCACTATTCACAGGCGTTAGAGTGGTGGAGTTCAGCACACACTTGGCTGGCCCCACGGTGGGGCGTTGTATGAGTGGTAAGCAAGTGACCAAACGACCAATCCGTATCGCTGTAGCTGACTAAATATATTTGCATTACACTATCTATTTAAGAGTTTGTGTACTGTTGTTATATGCATACATATATAGTGTGTGTACCCTTGTGATAATACTAGAGTGGCGGAGTTTAGAGTGGCGGAGTTCAAAACAAACTAAAATGTCTATACAGTGGGGCGCTATATAGGTTGTGAGGAAGTAATCCATCGATACATCAATCTCGCTATGACGCACTAATATATATCACAATATCTAGCGCTTATGTTTAGTGATATCACATGTGTACATATAAAACGCATGTACCTCTTGTAGTGGGACCGGAAAGTATTGCTGCATTGTTCACAGGCATCTATAGAGTGGTAGGTTTCAGCACATATCTAGCTCAATGAGAGCTGTCAAACAGTCTCACTATATTTAGACATTGGGATATAGAGTTCGCAGCTGTATAACAATGGCCATAGTGCGTACAACAAATGTAAAGCGAGTTTTAAATGAGCTAACGAACTTTGTAGTATTTAGTGTTTGGTACTCCCCATATCTAGTCGTTCTATTGGGTGTCTGATAGATGTGCCTACCAAGCCGTCTGCTTAAAATCCAGACATATTTATATACCTATATATAAACACAACACACACACATATATATATATATATACATATTATTTTATTTTATATTATATATTATATATTGAATATTATATATTATATATTTTGTGAGTAGCTTATTTGCTCACGAACGGTTGAGAATGAAATAATGTTATACGTTATCAAAGTAGTGTAATAGATCAATGAAGACTGATCATCTCAAAACCTTAATTTATATAACCATAGACTTGATATTGACCACCGTCAGTCTCGTCTAGCTAGTGACAAAGTATCCCTATGTATTCAAGCATGCCCGGTCATCTCTGTAGTCCGCCTCTCATCGTTTTTTTACACTACTTTACACACTACGCTATCTTAAAGTTTACGGTTATGTTCTATTGACATACACACCAACTAATGTTATGCATCCAATATCACGTGACACACAATACCAACATATAACTCCATACTAACCCCTCGTACATCTGAGCCAACATAAATTACTCATCACTACACATAGACCACACACATATTACAACAAATATATATATAGAACACACACATGTTACAATATATATATATAAATATATATATGTAAATATATACGTTAATATACAAACATATCGATACAATATATACTTATATACAAATATATATATTTATATCTATATATATATATATATATATATAATGTATGTATATACGTATTTACATCAAAATATTAATATCTAAATATATATATATATATATGTATATATACGTGTATATGTATCTGTATATATATATATATATGTATATATACGTGTATATGTATCTGTATATATATATATATATATTACTTTATATATATATATATAAGTATATATTATAT